CACATTTCGGCACACCCCTAGGCAAAGTGCCAGAGGCGCGGTCGAGGACCACCGGGGGGAATCTTCGCCGTGCACTCTCCGCTCAACGATGTGCGGTCAGCGAGGCCGTTCTGCCACTATGGTCGGGGGCAGCAAAGAGGGGGGTGATGACTAGGGGGGGGGGAATTTCATGGCGTGGGCCATGATTTTTCTTCAGATGTTATGGCGCCTCTTCTTAGTTCATTACGTCCCTGGCCCCCCCCCCCTTGGACCGCGCACATGTCGGAGATACTGCAGATCCTTCAACGTGTTCTGGTGCACTGAGCCGTCCTCTTCAGACGTTGCCCTTCGTTTGCACAGGGTTGACTTTCTCGCCAGGCTCATTTCTCCATCTTCGGCCCCTGGGTGGCCTCGCCAGGCCCAGGGACAGTCAATAAACCGACTTGGGCTGAGGTGCTGGTCCTGGGGGAAAGGCCCAGGCCTCGGGGGAGCCACGTGGCGGCACAAAGGTCACGACGTCGGGGGTCTGGAGGGCCCGGCCCCACCAGCTTTTCTGGGGGCCGCTGCGAGGGGCCCGTTCTGGGCCCCACTTCCGCCGCGGCTGGCAGAGAGGGGGCTACGAGATATTTGGTAATCGTTTTCTTATTCATTGTTTTGCCGATCGGCGGCGCGGGCCCTCGCACCACCCCCTTCCCCCCCACCCCGTGGAGTAGGTCTTGGCTGCTTTTGGCACCCGTTTCAGGCAGAAGGAGCCTCCTCCACAGAACGCACCGTTGGAAAAAGCCGCATCAAGCAGAGGTCCGGAGCCAGACCCCCCCCCTCCCCCCCTCTTCCGCCCAATGTCGCGACGCCGAATTCAGGAACCGTTCACCTGCTGCGCGCACTTTGCTTTCCGGCCCCGCCGCCGGGCGCCTCGCCTCGATGCATCGAGGCGACTCCCGGCGCCGGCAGAGCCGGCCGCGTGGGCTGGTTCGGTGTAGCCCCCGGCGTTGGTTCGCAGAGGCCGCCCGACTACCCCTCGTGGGTGCTGCGTTTGTGCGCGTGCGCTTGTGTTTGTGTTCGCGTGTACGGCCCGCGCGTGCTCGAAAAGGGCCCTGCCGTTTCCAAGGCCTGCTCAGGAGAGGGGGCGGTAGCGTGCCAGCGCACATGGCCGGGTCCGTCTCGCCCTCTCCCAATTCTCCTCCCGTTCTGTCGTCCGACCCGCCATTCACAGCCCCAGCGTTTGCGAGTCTGCGCGCTTGTGTGTGCATCCGCGCTCAGTCGTCCCTCATTGGCGTCTGTGCTCGCCCTTTTGTGCTGCTGATTCTTTGTGGCTGCGGTTGCACTTGCGCCTCTGATGCTACGCTTGCGCGCGCACGACACTCACCCAGACATGCGACATCCGGTTTTTTTCAACATGGCGTTCCTGGAAGTCCTGACCCTTTCCCGTGGACCGGCTTTTCGTCCTGAGTCGTTTTTTGACGCTCCCGAGGCCTGGCGAGGGCCCCCCGAGGCCGAAAACGGCCAAACACCCCGCCGGCGACGCGATCACGTCTGGGGATGTCACGCCTGCGCGCGCACGACGCTCAGGAGCCTCGTGACCCGCGGAGCACCTACTGCCCGCCGCGTGGCTCGGCCGTGGGCCGTGCAGCGCCCGCGGCCGCCCGCAGGCACAAAGACTTCCAGGCCCGGGCGCCCTGCGCACGGCCCCGGCGGACTGGCAGCGGGCTCTTGCTGCAGCCGCCGAGCCGGCCGCCGCCGCCGCCGGGTCTCCCCACGTGCTGCCAGGCAGGGTCGCGTGGCACAAAAATCAGGACGGGCGGTTTGGGGCCATTGTCGGCCTCGCGGGGGCCCTCGCGGGGCCTCGGGGCCGTCCACAAAGGACTCGGGATGAAAATCCGGTCCCGGGACAGGGTCGGGGCTTCCGGGGGAAACGTAAAGAAAACATCAGGACGTCGCATGTTTGGGTTGCCAGCTTGAAACGCATCCCTGTCCCGATGTGCTGGCATCACCTTACCTCGGTGCCGATCTTGAGGATCCCCTCAGCTTCTGAGGCCACATCCCTAAGGTTGTCACCGCCTGTGGCTTGCCGATGTCAGGGATAGGGATCAGTTCGAGGCCGGTTACCCACTCCGTCCACCCCAGCATCATAGACTTGCCACCGGCAGCCCCTTTTGCCCGTCCCGTCGGGCGGACACGGCAACGGCCAGGGGGGGGGCAGTGAGCGTGGGGGCATCGAGGGTTGCAGGATGGTGTGGAGAGGGGCCCTGCACGGCCCCCAGACTGCCACCGCGGGCCCGAGACGTGCACAGAGGGCGCACGCCCCTTCACCCCACGGGTCCCCCCCTTCACGACTGGCACCTGAGCTCTGCTGTCAAGATCTCCTTGGCATCGCTCGGACGTGTGCATGTTTCCGTCGGCGAGGACAATCGAGGAGCATCCTTGATCATGTGTTGGCGAAAAACACCACGCAGGAGACCGAAAAAAGCACAGGGAATGGACGTCCGAGCGATGGCGAGTCTCTGCTCTCACGGCAGCCCCCGACCTCGCCCGGGCAGCCGACTTGTCGGAGGGCGCGCTGCTTCGCAGCCGGAGGGCCCCTGTCGCGGTCTCGCCCAGCGCCTCGCGCGCCGGGGGGAGGCGCTGCGACCCTGGCGAGGGAGTCTTCTGAGTCTGAGTGGGCTGGGCGTGAGTGGGCTCGAGTGTGAGCGGTCGAGTCTGAGCGTGAGTGAGTCTGAGTGTGGGTGACTCCCAGACATGATCGCGTCGCAAAACAATCAGGACGGGAGGTTTTTGGCCGTTTTCGGCCCCGGGGGGCCATCGCTGGGCCTCGCGGCCGTCAAAAAACGACTCAGGACGAAAAACCGGTCCCGGGGAAAGGGTCGGGATTTCCAGGGACCCCGAACTGACAAGAACATGACGTCGCGTGTCTGAGATGTGAGTCCAAGTGGGGAGGGTGGGAGGGAGGGAGCGGGAGGCGGAGGCGTCACACTAATAACATGAGCCCAATCTCAGGAGATGGGGAACAATCAATCCCGTCTACCTCCTTCGCACTCCTGCAGCCCCCCTTACTGCAATGGGCCTAGCCAAGCTTCTTGTGCGCTGGGCCGGCGAATCTGCGCTCGTTTGGTACAGATCGTGTGACGCTTCCAAGCTAAATGACACGATGGGAGAGTGTGGGCGAGCGGCATGGTGTGCGATGTGTTGTGTCTGCTGTGATTGAAGGCTGGCGGCGTGGAAGCTTCTTGAAGCTGCCCCCCGATCAGGAGCGACAGAAGCACGTAGACGTACATGATTCCACGCTGGTTTCGACAGTACGAATTGCGCAAATGTTCGTATAGCGTGGCCGGTCTCGCAGATCGAGGGGCCGTGTTCATGTACATAGCTGGGCGCGTACGTCCTTCTGTGGGCTCCCTACCATAGTTCGTATTCGACTCGTGCCCGACGTGTGTGCGGCGCTGTGAGCGAGTTCGCCACGCCATCATTGGCTTGAACGCCGGGGAATTACTGCGAAGGCTTTACGGCTGGTGCCGCCGACCGTGCAGGGGGACCACGACGCGACGACGGCGATGACGACGACGACGACGACGACGACGACGCTGACGCTCTCGAGCCGAAAGCTTCTCCCAGGGAGTGGTGCTACCCCCGGGGGGGGGGGGGCTTACAACCCCCGGGACCCCCCCCCACACACCCTCCCCAGGAGCCCCCCAGGACACCCCTTGGGACCCACCCACCCTCCTCCGGCAAGGGAGGGATCAAAGGGAAGGGGCTTCCTTTCGACTCGATTATGCCTCGAATTCCCTCTGGCTGGAACGCTTGAGGGGGAGTGGCGACGAGGACGACGACTCAAACAGAAAATCCTCTCTCACACACGCCGACACGGCCGACAGGGTCGGCGCATTGTTCCTCCTGCTGCTTCTGCGGCGGAGGGCCCCCTCAGGTGCCGTGGTGTGTCGGCTGGTGTCATGGTGTGTGGGTGGGGGCGTAGTGTCAGCAGCACGGTGGTGTTCTGGTGTCGTGGTGTGGCCGTGTCCTGCGTTGTGGTGTCCTTGTGTCGTGTTGTCGTGGTCGCTTTGCGTTGTGGTGTCGTGCTGCTGTGGCATCGTGGTGTCATTCATGGCGCTCGTGCGTCCATGGGGAGAAGCAAGACAATGATGCGGCAACCGATGGCGGCGACAATTATGACCAGACCAGGAACCACAGGCAACAAATGTTGTTGGAGGGCATGTGGAGCTGGTGCGCACCCCATCCCCCATCCCCCAGCCCCCCATCCGTCATCTCCTCATCGGCTTCAAGCCGGACTGCAAGGTATACGTTACTCCGGGATGGGGGAGGGGGGAGGGGCGAAGAGGGGGAGGGGCACCATTCTCGAGCAGGGCGCGGGGGGTGATCAGGGAATGGTCAGGGACGCTTGGGGCAATGGGAGCAGGGCGCGGGGGAGTGATCAGGGAACGGTCAGGGGCGCTTGGAGCAATGGGAACAGGTGACCCCCCAGGGAGCGACTGGGGGGGGCACTGTTTGACCTGTGCGTCAGAACCTCAGCGCGACACGCTACTCGGGCAGGGCGCGACATGGCGCGGTATGGTGTCACGTGGCCACAGCCATCACACAGCGCCATCGGCCTCTCAAGCTGCTGCCGTCGCCTGTCGCTCGAGCTCGCGTCGGTCCAGAGGCCGAGGGAGCTTAGCAGGCGGGCGGCCGCCGCCGCTTCTCTCGTTATGTTCCCCGAGGTCGGCCTCGGCCGCGGGAAGAAGGGCAGCAGAGCACCCGCCCCGAAGGGATGCCCCCCCGGCGGCCCCAAGCCGCGAGGAGCCGGCAGGCCGCCCGCCGCCACCGCGGAGTCCGCCGCCGCAGCCGGGCCCAGCGTCGGCGGCGGCGCTGGCAGCGCCGCCGCAGCTCCCGCGGCGGCCAGCGGCGCCCCTGGCGCGGGGGCGGCTGCCGCTGCCCCCGCCGCAGCCGTCAGCGGCGCGGACGAGGAGGAGGTGCGCGAGATAGAGGCGGAGCTGCGGGCGCAGCTGCGGGCCTGGGCGGCGGACTCCGGCATGACCGAGGATGAGCAGAAGCGCTGCGTCCGGGGCCTGCTGGCGCAGTGGCACCCGGACAAGAACCAGCACATCCATGCGATCGCCACGAGGGTGTTCCAGTTCATCCAGGAGGAGGTAAGTAGCATCGTCGCCGAGCTGCGCGCCTCGGTGGACGTTGCCGCGAAGAAGGAGGCGGAGGCCGCCGAGCGGAAAGCTCAGAGGGCGGCGGAGAAGTCTGCGAAGGCCGCGGCGCTGATGGGGGCGCGGGCAGACAAGGAGAAGGAGAGGTCCCGCAAGGCCAAGGGTGGTGCTGGCACCGAGGTCGACGAGAAGGACGAGGAGGGGGCCGCTGCGGGGGCCACCGTCGCGGAGGCTCCTCCTCCTCCTCCTCCTCCTCCTCCTCCTTCTGCTTCTCCTCCTTCTCCTCCTCCTCCTCCTCCTCCTCCTCCTCCTTCTCCTCCCCCTCCTCCGCGAGGAGTGGTCCCTCGTGATCGGCCACGGCCCCGCGACGACCTCGCACCTGCGGCCTTGGCCGCGCAGCCACCTGACCCTGGTGCCGAGCCCCGTGGCCTCCAGGAGCGGGGGGCGGCGGCCAGCCGACCTCCAGCCCCGATCCCTCCTGGCATCGCCTGGACGCGAGCATGCTTTTTTGCTTCCGGCGGGGACCAGCGAGGAACATCCTCCACCGAGCGCGTTCCACTACTCGCAAAGGGCCTACTCGCAAACGTCCGAAAAGCACATGTCTGCTTTGAGGTAATGTATCGTAGATCCCCCGTGGGGGATCCAGGCCATTAGCGAGTAGTCACGTTGCGAGTAGTGGAACGCGCTCGTCTAATCTTGGAGCATCCTGCGGGGCAAGCCGCGCACGAAGCCCCCCCCAACGAAAGCACACGGGGAGGGGACGTCCGAGCGATGGCGAGATCCGGGCTGGGCCGATCCTCGGGGCCCAGGACCTGTGCCTGCGCCGTCCCGAAGCCAGGTGGCGCCTACAACCTCAGGAGGTGTTTTAGTCTTGAGCTCCCCCGTGTTGGTGGGACACCAGACCGTCAAGAAGAAGCCGTCGGAAACATGAAGATGATAAATGTCACTTGTTGGGGGGGGTCTGAAGACCTCTCTGGGTTGGGCACTGAGCCTAGGTCCACGACGGGCCCGGCCCTGAGTGGTGAGGCGGTCCGCCGGAGGACCTGGAGGATCGAGACCCGGAGACATGGCCGCGTAGCAACAGAAATCATGACGGGCGGTTTTTGGCCACTTTCGGCCCCTGGGAGCCCTCGCCGGACCTCGGGGCCGTCGAGCAACGACTCAGGACGGAAAACCGGTCCCGGGGAAAGGGTCGGGACTTCCAGGGACCCCGTCTTGAAAAATCGGGACGTCACATGTCTGGGAACGGGTACGGGAAGCATGTTGGCGAAGAACGATAGCAGCTCATGCCCATTCTGAACAGGTCCCCCTGTCGGTGTCGCCGCGGATGTTATTCTTCTTCAGATGGAAGCTCGCCTGCCCAGCAGCGGCCGCAGCCAGTTTGGGACAACGTTTATTGTTGGGCATCTTCGCCCCCTATTCCGTACACATTTCGGGAGCCTAAAAAGAGGAGGGCCAGTTGAGACAACGTCGGCTCCCCCGTCTGACCCAAATCCGCCCAAACATTGCCACCCGACTCCCTGATTCCTTTTTCGACGCGGATCCAGCCGTGGCGACGACCCTGAGATCCGACGTTGCAAAAAACATGCAACATCGCAAAAATCATGACAGGAGCAATGGACCCATCGTTCGAGCCGGATCGATCTGTCAGGGTGCCTGGTCCCGAAGTGGAGCGAAAACGCCCGTAGTGAAAAAATTGCAGCGCCAGGATCTCAGGGGGGGAGCCCCCACTTACCTCCCGCTTGATACCCCATCTTGGGCTCAATCCGGCCTAATTCGGTGAAGCTGCCCCCTAATCGGGCTTGGTAGCCCTTAATCGTGGCCTCGCTCTGACGCGTGCGTTTGTCCCAGCGAGCACCATCGAGGAGCACCTTGGGTCACCATGCGAAGACATGCGCGCACGAGAACGAGACATGCACAGGGCATGGACGTCCGAGCGATGCCAGGCAGTCGTTCTAAGTAACGAAGACCTCCCACGAGTTGCTTCCGAACTTGTTCCGACGCGGGTCCAGCCGTGGCGACGAGGAGCCCCCCAACGAGGGCCACAGAGATCGGGCAGGGAATCGACTGCAGACTTGATTTACCTCAAAATGCAGACTTGATTTACCTCAAAATGCATTTGTTCGTCGAATCCACAAGCAATGCGTATAATGCTCGTAGATCTACAAACCCTGAGATCCGACGTAGCGAAACAAAATGAGTTATCGTCAAAAGTCACGCCCGGAGGCCTAGACCCCAGCCTTCTGCGCCATTTTTCGAGCCGGATCGATCTGTGAGGGTCCCGGGGCCCGAGAAAAAAACGGAAACGCCCGGCTCGAAGAAGTTGAGTCGCCAGGATCTTAGGGAGCATTCTGAGCATCTGTGGTGTACACCCAAC